CCTCTACCCTCCGTCGTGTCTCGTCTCCACCTACGACTATATATATATATATATATATATATATATACACGTTTGCAAGTATGTATTCATTTTCAAAATTCAAGATTTTGTATTTCTTGGAGCATACTGTGCATTTACTTCTCATATAAAACCCATAACTTTAGGGTTATAACTTTTTCAAAACATACACTAACCCCACTGAAAAGAAAAAGAGAAAAAGAAAATAAAAAAAAAAGAATTGATATCGCTAAGTACTTTAAAGAAAAACATCTCAAGATTGAACAAAGACCGCCCAATTTTTAAAGGTCAAGATCTAGGTATTCAAAAACTTAGAATTCAAAAACTTTTTCTTTTAAAAATAATCATCTAGTGATTCTTAGGTGGTTACCAGAATTTAATATTGAAAAATCCTGCCAATTAGGTTTTTTTTAGTGAGGAGTAAACGCAGAGTATAATACTCCTACAGGAGCAAAGTCTACACCATACACTCTCTTTTTTGAATCTAGCCTCAAAATTACCATGCTCTTTTCTAGTTGTGGTTGATGCTTGCAGACAAAAGCAGTTCATTGCTTCTGTATTTACCTCATGTACATCAACGTTAGAGGTCAACAATTGAAGCTATTTTCTTATTTAGACAAGTGATTAAGAAGCTTAGGGTCAAGGAAAAAGATCTTCACATGGTCTTTATTATTCTAAAAAACGTTTATGATAAAGTACCTCCAAAATTGATTTGGTGGGTATTGTAAAAGAAAGAAGTCTCTACACTCCATCAACTTGGTGAGAGATATGTACAAGGGAATGCTAACTAATGTATGAATAACTAGCGGAGAGACGAGTGGATTTTCAGTGACAACAAATCTACATCCGGGATCGATATTGAGCCCATGCCTCTTTGTTTTAATTTTGTACGACCTAACTAGGTACCTACAAATGACATAGTTTTGATTGATGAGACTAGAAACTGCATCAACACAAAGTTAGAACTTTGGAGGGATGCTCTAGATGAGTGGTTCCCCAATCTTGACCCACCTAACCTAACCTTTCACCAACCTTAACCCGCCTAGCCTTCACCAACCTTAACCTACGTAGTCTTCATCAACCGTAACCCACCTAGCCTAGTCCAATACTCGGAATCTAACCTACCCATCTAGTCCATCCATCTAAGCCTCACATCCAAGCCAAGAGACAAGCCTAATGATCTATATGACCGTAACCATCCAAGTGCACACACCGCACTATCCAACCCTAATCCTAGCAGGCACCGGAGTCACCCTCATGCACACACGCGCACGCACCCTAGGAGGCGTTGCACACGTTTTCTCTCTATTTCAAAAAAAAAAGAAAGAAAGAAAGAATCCACAGTTTTAATAAACAATTTTTCAAAGTACAAAAATCCAGGGTGACCATCGTCATTACTCCTCATGGAGTTTGGTATTACCTCTATCTTCCATAAGGTTTTGAAAGAATGGCATTTCCCAATTTCCTCATTGCATAACCTCTCCCCAAGGTTCTCCTTTGGTTGAAGAGCTCCCTGATGAAGAGGTCCTATCACCGAGCTTGCATTTGAGTGGAGGATGTACTTTGATGGGGACTATCAATTAAAGAGTGGGGGAATTGGCATAGTATTCATTACCCCACAAGATGGGATGATCTCCCTCTCCTTCTCCTACCATCAAGCGCCTCACATAATGAAGTGAGTGGAGTGTCAAGTCCTCACAACTGGGTTAAAAGTTGTTTTTACCTTAGACATCAATCGGCTAGCAATATTTGCGACTCAGAATTGGTTGTTTGACAACTCAAGGGGATTCATGATGTGCGTAAAGATAACCTCTTTCCATACTGCAACATGATCAAATCACTTATGGCTTCCTTTGAAGAAGTGTCTCTCAACCACATCCCTAGGTATCTCAATCGTCAGGCTGATGTGCTCTCTAGGCTTGGCGCCAACATCCTCCTCCCTTAAGGGGCCTCCATGCCCATATGGGTTGTTGAATGGAGATCCATTTCCTTGTTGGACAAGCTTGATATTCGTGAAATTTACCCATATCCTTTCGGCGCGTTCCGACTCACGAAAGAGGCCCATGAAGCCAAAAAAGAAATCTCAAGCCACGATCGACAATCTAGACTCCCAACCTGATGGGTCTGACTCCAGAACAAAGGAGGTGTGATCTAATGAAAGAGAACCTCATCCCCAATAGTGTATTGAGATCAAGCAGTTGTTGGATTGGCGATATCCCATTCTCGACTTCTTATAGCATGGACACCTCCCTGTTGACCCTATTGAGAGGAATGTCATTCAAAGGCAGAACACTAAGTATGTTTGCCTCAATGATATGCTCTACCGGCAATTTCATGATGACATCCTCTTACAATGCCTATCAGAGTGAGAGGAATGGCAAGTTATTGAAGTGCACGCCAGAGTGTGCAGCCTACCAATCAGGACCTAAACTTTATGAGAGGATTGGGCGGTTGGGCTACTATTGGTCCACCATTATATCTGACTCCATCGAGTATGCTAAAAGATGACAAGTGTGGCAGATCCATGATGACTTCATCCATGAAACCCTTGAGCCGCTCCATCTTGGTGTCTCCTTGCTTTCCCTCCCCATCTCATTGTGAATCATGCCACCCTTCCTTTCTTGGGGATCCCACCGCTCATACTATTTTGCTCTTGGCTTAGCTTCTCACATCTGGTGTAGTCGTAATCCTATTAGAACTCTGAAGTTGATTGTGCTTAGCCAAGTGTAATACAAGGATGATTGACCTCATAGGACAAGTGTAGAATAGAAAGTATCTATGACCTTTTTTTTTTTGGGTAATTAAAAAAGTGGTATGTCAATGGGGATTTGGGCCCTTACCCTTTGGTGAGAATGGAATTAGAGTCCTTCCCGTAGGGCACGACAATACTATCGCCAAGGCCCCAACCCATTCTCAAATATCTAAGACCTTTTTTTATCCAAAAAGTTAGGATTCCCTTTTTATATATAATCCATTTAACTATAGATATATTAGGAGATGTTTTAAGAAGGGAAATTTATTATTGTGGCTGGGTTGTATGCAACTACTGCCTTTTGTTCCCTCTAATGAAAATGGGCAGTGCAAGATAAGTTGATACTGATAAAGTCTAAACAAACCTTGCACTCTATTCTCAACAGATGGTGCAAATACATCTTGTGTTGTCTGTTGAAAACAAATGGTGCAAAAGGCTATGGCTCAAAATGGTTGTGCCTTTAGTATGACTTGGGCTTTACAAATTTCATTACGGGCATGACTTTACAAAATTTGATAGCACAACACCTTAAAATCCATCGGAAAAACCATATCCACACATTGTGATAGCCTATAAATCCATTTCCATTAAACCAGACCATATTCAAACGTAATGATGGGTAGGTGTTGTTCAATATGGTGATATCCAAAATCACCCACATAAGGAAATCTCATATTATGTGGGATTGAGATTGATATTGATAAAGTTTTCTAAATAAAATAGAATTCCAAAAAGATTAGGACTCTGGGATACATCTCTTGGTTATTTAGATATATGTTAGTATGTAGTCCTAACCCTATATATATGGGATGAAAGATGAAAAACTACATGTGCTCTATTTGGGTCACTATATGGGAATGGTGACTTACCCTAAAGCGAGATGCAGGCCCTCCTCTGCATCAAAGGCAATGCCTCTCCTAAGAGAGAATAGAGCTTCTTATGGAGAGAAACATCAAGGATGTGCCTCCTATAGATTAAGATGTTGGTTTATAGTAGAGAAGCGATTCCCATGAAGATTTTGGGTGGTTTACCTCAAGGGTCTAAGCCCCTCATTAGATAGAAGAGAGCTTCCTATGGAGAAAAACACTACAGATGTGCCTCTTGTAGATTGAGAGGCTTGTTTCTAATAAAGAAGTGGTTCCTATGAAAATTTTGGGTAGTTTCTTCTTTTAGTGAGGAAAGTCTCAGTTGCTCTCATGGGCTTCTTCCTGAACAACGATTTAGATGTGGAATTCCTGGACTTGGACAACAGTTTAGCTGTGGAATAGAGATGGGTCTCTTCCTATACACAACGGTTTAGCTATGGAATATAGATGAGTCTCTTTCTGGACATTTGTTTAGTTGTAGAATAGAGGTGAGAGATTGGTAGATCGTACTCAATGGGTGGTTTCCCTTTTTAGTGAGACAAAGCCTCAATTGCTTTCAAGGCCTCTTCCTAAACAATAGTTTAGCCGTGAAATAGAGATGGGTCTCTTCTAAGACGGTGGTTTAGTTGTAGAATAGATGTTAGAGATCGGTGGGTCATGCTGATCAGAAGAGCAAGTCTAAAAGGATTTGCTCAATTGGGTTCTGTCGAGAGTTAAAGAGGTAACTCTATGTCCCAAAATCCATAATGTAACTTTTATTGGTACAGTGGATTTCAGTTTGCCATACCCGTGGATGTAGTGGATTTCAGCTTGCCATGCCCGTGGATGTATCCCTTTTGGGATGAACCACGTATAGGTTCTTATGGCGTATGTTTCATGCTTTATTTCTCGTATTATGACTTGTATTCTTACCTATTTTGTTTCTAGCTAGATAAGTACACAATCTTGATAGGATCCAACCGTTGAGATTCCTAGTTTCACATATAAGAGGGTTCTTATATCCTAATAGGTGTATGCCTGATCCTAATGTACACAACTCTTGAAAATTTGGACGGAAGGCACAAATGTGCACATATTGCATTCACTCATCATGTAAAATTGCAATAGAAACCGGCATGATATTCCCACTTGATTTTCAATTACAAGACTTGAAAACAAGATAAAAAACAGATCATCATGGCCCCATCTCATTTTCCATTAAGAAGGACACCAAGAGATTGCTTGAATACAAGACAATTTATGCTTCGACAAAATTCAACCACATAGATTCATAGAACCATTACATTAAACAATTTTAAATTACATAACAAATTCAACTAAAGCTATATCTTGCAATTCCAACTCAATATACAAACCAATGCAGCTATCATGGATCATGAGAAAACCAATTACCTCACGGCTGTCCGGAATTAGTGTTCCGAGTTGTCCCGAGTAGGTGCTCCTACTTGGGGATCTTATAAAAAATTCAAAACAACTATAAGAACTTTTAAAAAATAAGAAATTTATTTGTAACATGTTTTTTATATTTTTTATCATTTTTGGTAAAGATTTAAAAGTGTTTTGGCCATGAATACTTAATTTTACATTTTCCCATCTTTTTTGAAAAAATTTTAGAATACCTCCCAATCACAAACTGATATTTCGAATTCTGTTTTTTTCTACTCTTTAAACCATATTTAGAAGGGTTTTGTTTACTTTTACTTTAAATATATTTTTCTTATTTTTTGGAGTTTTTGTATTTTTTAACATTTTGTGTTGGGGCTGAGTAAAAGGCCCGCACACTGTCCAGGGTTACCTCCTTGGGACCTCATACACATACTACATCCGCCTCCTCAATAGCGCACGTACAACGGCGTGATGGTCTATGGAGCATACTATGTCAAGTAATGCATGCTATGGTCTAGTAGGGCTCTGGAAAAACACCAAATTAATACCAAGGGAAGGTTATTACCCTGCTGTAAATGGGATTTGAAGATGAGGTTGTGGCAGCATGTTTATGGCTAATTATCCAATATAGAGTAGGGATAGTGTGGGGCATCCATATGGACCACTTAGGTTACATGGTCTTGTGTTTGGCTAAGGCATGCACACCGCACTGCGGACTATAGTCACTCTCAGTCTAAGAGTGCATGCCACATACTAAGTATTTTCCTCTCTCTATTTTGGCAGCATAATATTACATAGAAAAGGGTTAGGAATGAGGGGTTGATTACCCCTATTTATTGGAGAAAATTAGGGTTTAGTAAGTGTGTAGAAGGTTCTCTTTTGGGAGGTGCATTGTGACTCTTGACCTAAGAGATCTATCAGCCAAGAGAGGTTTCAATCCCAGCTATCCATCTTTATCTAGCTATCATAATTTAAATGATGGGATATATTAACAACATATTTATCCCCTAGCCAATCCAAGCCTTTAATTTTTCTTCAATGTATCATGCCTTATTTAAGTCTAGGTTAATCTTAATTACATCAATGACCAAGGTTAACCTTATGATTTTATAATCAAAGTGGACTCAAAGGGTGGCGTGTGCCTCTTAGTTTGCCTTTTCTTCCTGAGGTTATTATGTGAGTATGGGTAAAGGAGGTAGATTGTGTTATTAGGCAACCATTATAAAACTTTACCAAAACTTTTTATAAATCTTTAATAAGAGTAACATATATTCGTTCGCATACTTTAATCAATTCACGTGGACTCATACATGCGACAAACATGAACTAGACTTGTGTCATACATGTATATCAATCTCTATGTGACATGTTTTATTGGACGCCAAAATTAGAAAAGTCATAGCTCATTCATTTAAGGGTGTGGTTTGTATAAAGTCGAGGTTCTAAACAATCAAAGTAAAGTGCACCTTCAAATAGTATTGAGAAATATAGTTTCAATACTGAAAATCTTTGTGATAGCCTTAAAATATATTTTCAACTCTAATTATAAAATTTAAAGCTTAAAAAAATAGTCTAACTTGAGCATATCTATGAAAACTTGAAAATCTTGAAAATTGAAAGTCCAAAAATACATTACAAGATGCACTATTTTTAAAACTTGAAATTCATTTTTTTCTCCTGCTTATGCATCTTGAGGTCGAGATGATCAATTTGAGGATATTTGGACATCAAAACAACCGCTTCTAGTAAAAATTTTAAGGTCCGACCTAATTTGATTGTTTAGAACCTCACACTTATATAAACTTTTTCGTTCGTTTAATTTAAAACAATGGCCTTTCTAGAAAAATTTACTTTTTCCACGTATGAAATGCTCTGCCCTTTCAAACTTTTAAATCAAACACACTTATCCAAGATAAGTGACGAACTAAACAAGGGCCAAAAGAGTGGGCTGCGCACGTGGGTCCACACGGACCCACGGCACTATGTGGGAGCCACATTGCACACACACGTAGCCCATTCGCCACTTATGTCATTTTGTCCTTGGTATTTTGTAAACAACTTTTCCTGGGCTACTTTGGGCCTAGAAAAGAGTAACTAAAATTTTTGAAAATTCCAAAAAGTTAGTTGTATTTAATTTAGAATTCCAAAAAATTTGAACGTTCAAAAAAATCTTGAAAAGAAACTAGGGGCTTGCAAACTGTTCTCAGCTTGTCTCAAGACCTATATCCAAAATTCCAAATTGACCTAACAAAACTCATAACCCATAATCTTATACAAGTACTCGTGATTGATCTGTTAAACCCAACCAATAAATAGTGTGATTCCAAAACTTAAAACGGATTTAAGGTGCACCCCGAGATCAAGGCACCAGTGCAAGGTTCCTCTCTGATGCACATATGCATGGCTTCCTAAGAACTCCCCCAAAAAAGGAGCCTTCCCATATTTACAGCCATCATATGCACATACCATTAGGGGCTTTAACCTTCATCCTCATAGGGTTAACCTCATTGCACGAAGTTTCCACCATATCTTTCAACCAATGATATCTCCGGCCTTGAGAAACGGATGGCCCCAAACCATTAGCGGTACCCGCTCAAGCCTGAAGCCCGACACCCGTGGGTATGAGTTTTCCGTGACTTGAAGTTTTTACACTCCTAACCCTAAACTGCCTAGGCTCTGAGTCACCCATAATTGGTTCCTGGTTCTTATGCCACTCATATTAAAATCCACTACAAAACTCAAATCATACAAGAGCGACTGAGACCTTGAAATGCGACATACATTCAATATGGATGACTTGCGAATTCATTTTAGCCTCATATTGTGGAATTTGAAGCTTCAAAACTAAGCAAATCTGAAATTTATTAATATTTAAGATACTAATTTTTTTTTTACAAGAGAACTATTTTTAGAAGGGAGTGGTTTATATAAGATTGCAACCTTAAACAATTGGCACACCTCCAAATTTGATTATATCGTAATTTTGGTGTAAAAAATTCTTAGGATGATCTAAAAATCTATTTTCATCTCTAATTATAAAATTTTAAACTCTAAAAAAATTAAAATCATCTGGAACTATAAACATATAAAAATCTTGAAAATGGACGGTCTAGATAATGTGTTATAAGACACTATTTCTAGGACTCAATCTTTTTTTCTTTTTGTCATATTCATACATCTCAATGTTGAAATGATAAATTAGAGGGTTTTTCAACATTAAAACAACCTTTTTCGATGAATTTTTGAAGTGCATCTTTAATTCTACATTTTAAGGATGCAACCTTAAATAAACTTTTTTCTTTTTGAAGTTATAATTCTCTCTTTTTTTCTTGTTTTTTTGTCCATCATCTAGGTAGTGGGATGATTGAATTGCATGCTCTGAAGTGCATTTTCAGGCAAGATTTATGAAGCAACTGTACAAAACCGTAGCTTTATGGAACTTTTGCTTCAAGAATAATTGGCTTGTGAAAGCAAATACATCGGCTTATACAGTTTGCGCTCTTACCCATCATACTTACCATATTATCTTGACGTGGTACCCATTCCCGTCATTATAATCATGACAAGATGGGCCGGAGCAGATATATCTTTTTTATCAACAGTTTTTTTATCATGCCATAGAGACTGAAGAAAAAACCAAAGTTTACATGATATGACTCACCAGAAAAAAAAGAAAAAAGAAAAAAAAAGGGCCTCTAAGTTTGAGTGGTTGAAAAAATGAGCCTCACCAGTACACAGTCCAACAACCAGCCAAACTTTAGCATATTCCCGTTATTGTACAAATTTTCTGGCATATGATTACACACTCAACTGTGGAAGCGAGCAGAGCATCTTAGAAGGCCAACCGGGGTAGATAAAAACTATCATTCTATACTTGGCAATGGCATTTTCCAATAATTCCAAGAATTATAATCTTCCTGTACAACATGTCAAACACTCAGTATTCCATTGCGCCAATGAGAATACAAAAAGCTCAAATTCATCAGAAAGGTACAATTACAAGAATAATGCTCATGTATTTCTAGCTCAATTACTTACACTCACCTGTTCTCCAAGTGAAGTTGGTGGAAACATGTCATGCACGAGAGTATGCAAAGAGGTATATGTCTTCACGCCAGTGCGATTGTTGATAGCCACTTCACCCTGCCAATTAGATTAGAATCAGAATCAACAAAGTTGAGTCAAATCGAAACTCGTAAATAAGCAATTCCAACATTTTCTATATACAAATGGCAGCTCATTTGCTTCAAAGAATACCTTTGGATTTATAATGAATATTTTCCCTTTTGGAATTCCAACTTTTCTGTAGCTGATCTCATCGGTTTCTCTGTTTCCAAAGCCCGCATAAAAGGGATTGTAATCAGAGGGAAAAAGTGCCCTTATATCCTGCCAAAGCAAAATATAACGATGTTGTTAATGCATGCATGGAATGGATAACTACTGAAAATGACCCCTTAAAACATTAAGCGCAAGTGTCTCTCTCTGCCTGTCCTCTCTCTCTCTCGCCTTAAAGCATTAAGCACAAGAGTCTTTCTCTCTCTCTCACTCTCACTCTCGCTCTCACACACGCACATCTAATCATCATAATGGATTTACTAATTAAAATGCCCAACAAGACAAAGTCACTTCAAAGGAATAAAAAATATCACAGGCATCATGGCATCAAAATGGATAACGTCCATTCAAACATTACGGCATGTATCTCGAAACTAATGGATGCTTTATTCTTACATTTTGTACGCGGAGGATAAATACCTAATGATTCTACAGATATCAATCCCAATAAATAGGACCATGTTGGGAGGCCCAGTTCCTAAAAGGATAATAATTCAGCACAATGCAGAATGAAAAAATGAGCAAAAGAGATTTTGGAAAATTGAAAAGAGTGTTTTTATTTGAAAAGCCTCCTGATCTTCAACCAGTTATGTGCTTCCATATAATTGCCTAGAGTTAGTGCTATAGCTTGTTTCCAGTACACAGCTAGTTGATCGAACCAAGTATCTGCGATTTCAGAAAATCCCTATCGAATGGTCTGTTCTCCCCGGTGGGGATAGGTGGATCAATTCCTTCACTTGGAACCGTACCAGAGAGTATCCTACCTCATATGGCTCGGCAGTCAACTCTTTTAGTGTTCCATCTTATATTCATCTTATATTGTATTTAACTTGATGAAATTTCTCATCAATCGATCCCATTTTCTGGATTTAATCAAATAATCAGATTAATTACATGATTTTCAAACTCAAAATTTCATCAATCAAATAATCGATTTTCTCTTCTCTCATCTTCAGAAGAATGAAACTAAAGCAAGATATCTCCCTCTATCATTACAATTTTATGAAAGGTAACTATCTCATTTTCATTCATATAGATACTATGAAAAATACCTTTCCCGATAAGAAATGACTTACTTTGGGATCTGATGGTACACTATTGCTCAGCACTTTTGTGGATCAACTCTATTACATAAGTTGATTCTTAACTTAATATCTCACACCTTGACATAAGTAAGCAGGTCTTATTCTATAGACCCAAAACCTCTATCATTGATCTTTACAGTGCTTCGTCTATCAATTAGATCTTTTATCCATAGAAATCACTACATAGGCCATATCCATTTCTTCATATCTTGGCTCCTATGTAGTTTCTTTCTTTGGTAAAATTGATAAAAACCACTCCTTTAAATGGTGCATGTAGAAGGCCTATTTTATCTTGTTTTATTTTGTTTGTTTATCCTTCTAGTATGTACTTTCTCTATTGTTAGTCCTGTTAATGTTTTATGCTTTTATTCTTTATATTTTATAGTAGAGATAGTCACATGTAATGACAGATCACTGCCATACTATTAGAAGCTTGTGGTAAGAATGGATTTCATTCTAGTGCCCAAAAATATTCCAAAGCCTTCATATGTTCTTCATTGCTTGTGTGGACAAGTCCTATATTACAAAGTATATAACTTTGATCATAGGCATCATTTCTAGTCATGTGGCTTCATAATAGTTATATAAAGCTTGCACATAATTTCCTAAATATTAAGCGGACATTTGTTATGGTCAGACATTTGTTATGGTCATTGATTCCATTCAAAGGATCTCCATTCCAAAACCATACGTGAGATTTCCATATCATACGACTCATCCCCTTATGTGCATCATAATAAAAGGAATAATCTATGGAATAAAAAAACATTGAAATATTTTCATTATGTTATCAATTGACAAGGGATGGTGTTTTTACAAGAAATCTTTAGCCAGCCTTTCTGAATTTCTTAAAACCAAGCTCATTGGTCTTAAATAAAAAGGGTTACTCCCCCCAACAATTTCATTGTCCTCAACACTCCATATTTCTAGGAACTAGACACTTCAATGATCTTTGATGGTTATAAGGCTATCCAAGGTACAAACAAGATGGATGTTTGTCGTCCCATCCATTCTTGTTAGTCCAAATCCCAACAGAGCAAATCAAAGAGGGGATAATTAATAACAAAGTTTTTATGTTGTTGATTTCTAGGTTTAGTGCTTCACATCCCCTATGCCGCCTATTGGTACCAGTACAGTAAGATTAGCCTACAATAGAGAACCTATATATGTAACCTTTCGCTCAATACTAAGATCAACAATTGAAACATTTGAGGCTGAATCAATCGTGGATATACAACAAAAGGAATTGTTCTATCTACGAAATTTAACTTTCACAAAGCATTGGCTTCTTTCAACAATTTTTTTCTTTCCATCCAAAATTTATTGTAAGGATGGGAATGGTAAGTAAAAAAAAACTCAAATCGCACCACCCCTCATTATCATTTTAGCATTTTCCCAATTAATTGGGGTAGGCTACATGAATCCTGGTTCTCCATTTTGCTCTATTAAAGGCCATATCCTCAATGAGGCCACAAGTCCCCATATCTTTTCTGACTACTTCCAAACACGTTCTTTTGGGCCTACCCCTTGTCTTTTTCAGTCCTTCCACTTGAACTAACTCGCACCTCCTAATAGGCATTGTACTTGATCGGTGCCACACATAGCCAGCCCACCTAAGTCTACTCTCTCTCATTTTATCACCTATTGGTGCCACTCCTAAATTCTCTCAAATAGACTCATTTCGAATTATATCCCTTCTTGTCTTGCCACTCATCCATCTCAACACCCTCATCTCCGCTAAACTCATTCCATGGGTATATATTGTTTTTTGTCCGCCAACATTCCGCCCCATAGAGCAAAGCTGGTCTCACCGTTGTCCTATAGAACTTGCCCTTCAACCTCATTGGTATGTGGTGATCACATAATAGTTGCACATCTCCATTTCGCCACCCAGCTCTAAGTTTGTGTGAGACATCTTCCTCGATCTCTCCATTTTCCTGGATTATCAACCCACGATATCAAAAGAAATCGCACCACCCCTATAAGAGGTAAATGTCTCTTTTTCTTCTAAACTCGTTGAAATAATTTGTAATAAGTTATTGCTACAATTCAAGAGGTCTTATCAATAAAATTGCCATTTATCCGATATCTAGGTATATTTAGCAATCCATTTATACTAATAATTCTTCTCATTTCCCCATTGAGGAAACTGATCCCATAAAGGAATTGTACAGCACAAAATGATATGACATAAAAACAAACAAATTTTCAAATAAAACAGAAAAGGTGGACCTTTCACTCAAATTGGTTCGTTTGGACAAGGACAGATAGGAAATCTCCAACTCCAATTCAATTAAATTACAATATTCAAATTTCACTCAATCAAATTGAGTAGTATATGATGCCAATTTTTTATTTTATTATTTCAAGTTCAACGAAGTTGAAGAATCCAAGAATTGCCTTTGATAGCTCGAGAGAGTTTTATGATCCAACCGGACCGAAAAAAAAATGTTTTTTTATCCCTTGAGCCTTAAAGGGAAGATCTTTCCTTGACAAAAATTTTTATATTCTAATACTATATTTCTAATATTAATCGTCCCGATACCCTTTGACATGCACCCACCTACTATCCCTTCTCCATTATTGCAATCTCCCTCCCTCCCAACTCCTGATCATTCTCCAATGGCACCACCCCCCTCTCCCCAATTGTTTCCCCCCCTCTCCAATTCTCCGTTGGTGGTGTCGGGTCATGCTTGCAGCCCCCAAGCTGGCCCTCTCATTCGTCGGCCTCTGCTCCCACCTTGCAATCATACTTTCCCATTTCAATAGGCTTAAGTTTCGTCTCGAGTATGGACTCAGCTCAAGGCAACATCAACAAAGTGCTCCACCTAGTTGGCTTCAAATTCGACGACTCAAAGTAGACGTGGAGGCCTTCTTTTGATCCAACCCTCAATCAAGGTTCAAAGCAATTTCCAAGCTGACCAGAGAACTCGTCAAGTTATCTTCAGGCATAAACTACAACCAAGGAACTAGAACAACCCATAGTGCTCCATCGTCTTCGCCCCCTAGAGTGGTCGCCTCTAGACGTTCTACTAGACACTGCCTCTCCATTCCCAGAAGATGAAGATCTTGGTTTGGAACATCTATGGACCTTGGTTGCACTCTAAAAACCAATGCGGTTAGAGCATATTATTCAAAACATGCTCTCGCAATCTTGGCTCTAATTGAAACGAAGCTCCCATCCCCTTCCCTCTTTCAAGTTAGACAAGTCTGGGGAAGGAGGCCTTATCATTGGGTGGCCCTAGATGCAGTCAGAGCCTCAAGAGGCATCTGGGTCATCTGGGACCCTTATTCCCTTACCCTATCTAACACCATTGTCGCGGCTTACTAGGTCATAGTTTCACTATCCCAATCTTTCGATGGACTTCCTTGCAAATCTTTAGCCATTTACAGAGCCAACTCCAACTCTGCAAGGACTCAGCTCTGGCAAGAACTCGATGCGGCAGTATCTTGCCCTCCAAATAGGTGGTGTCTTGGTGGGGACTTCAATGACACCAAATGGTCTTATGAAGAAGCAATTTATCTAGGATCACACACCAGCCATGCTTCTTTTTGCTGACTTTATTGCTCGCCAAGAGCTCATAGACATTCCTCTTCAGGGGGCAGTGTTCACATGGTCAAACCATTCCCCTGCTTCCCTTGCTTTCTCCAAAATAGATAGATTTCTTTGAAGCCCCGAATGGGAGTCGACCTTCGCCGGCACACACTCACTAGACCTCCCTAAAACCACCTCTGACCATAAAACCCTCTAGCTCAGCACCCTACCCATCTTTTGGGCACCTAGACCCTTCCAATTTGAACTTGCCTAGCTCGAAGAACCCGGCCTTTCATCTTTTCTTCCTTCTTGGTGGTCTTCTTTTTCCCCCCTTACCCAAGAAAGGGCAAGTTTTAGACTTCAAAAGAACTCTCTCCTTAAAAACTCCCTTAAATCCTGACGTTGTCTGCTTCCTGACAACTTCCAATCCT